GACATTAAAGCGTGGTGCATGATCGAGTTGACACGCGGGAACCCTAACGGGCGGGTCGGGTCGGGTCGGACATTATCGAGTTCACGCGCCGAGAACCTAACGGGCGGGTCGGGTCGGGTTGGGCGGGCGGACCTTAGGGCGGGTCGGGTCGGGTCGGGCGGGCGGGCCCTGACGGGCGGGTCGGGTCGGGCGGGCGGGACATTAGAATGTGGTGCATGATCGAATTCACACGCGAAAGCCCTAACGGGCGGGTCGGTTCGGGTCGGGTCGGGCGGACGAGCCCTATCGGGCGGGTCGGGTCGGCTCGGGCGGAAGGTCCCTAACGGGCGGGTCGGGTCGGGCGGGCGAATCATTAAAATGTGGTGCATAGTTGAGCTCACGCGCGAGTACCCTGACGGGCGGGTCGGGTCGGGTCGGCGGGCGGACCTTAACAAGCGGGTCGGGTCGGGTCGGGCGGGCGGACCCTAACGGGCGGGTCGGGTCGGGCGGGGGGGACATTACAGTGTGGTGCATGATCGAGTTCACACGCGAAAGCCTATCGGGCGGGTTGGGTCGGGTCGGACGGGCGGACCTTAACGGGAGGGTCGGGTCGAGATGGGCGGGCGGACCCTAACGGGCGGGTCGGGTCGGGCGGACGGGATATTAACACGCGAGAACCCTAACGGGCGGGTTGGGTCGGGTCGGGCGGGCGGACCCTATCGGGCGGGTCGGGTCGGGTCGGGTCGAACGGCGGACCCTAAACAAGCGGGTCGGGTCGGCGGGCGAGACATTAACGCGAGTACCCTAACGGGCGGGTCGGGTTGCGGGTCGGGTCGGGCGGGCGGGTCGGGTCGGGTCGGGTCGGGCGGAACCTCACTGGTGGGTCGGGTCGGGCGGGCGGGACATTGAAGTGTGGTGCATGATCGAATTCACGCGCGAGTGCCCTTACGGGCGAGTCGGGTCGGGTCGGGCGGGCGGACCCTAACGGGCGGGTCGGGTCGGGTCGGGCGGGCGGACCCTAACGGGCGGGTCGGGTCGGGCGGGCGGGACATTAAAGTGTGGTACATGATCGAGTTGACACGCGAGTACCCTAACGGGCGGGTCGGGTCGGGTCGGGTCGGGTCGGGCAGACCCTAACGCCCTGGTCGGGTCGGGTCGGGCGGGCGGACCCTGACGAATGGTCGGGTCGGGCAGGCAGGGTAGGCCTAAGGGGTAGACCCAGGGGTAGGCCTAGGGGGAAGGCCTCGGGGTAGGCCTAGGGTAGCCCTAGGGGGTAGGCCTAGGGGTAGGCCTAGGGTAGGCCTAGGGGGAAGGCCCGGGGTAGGCCTAGGATAGCCCTAGGGGGTAGGCCTCGGGGTAGGCCTAGGGTAGCCCTAGGGGGTAGCCCTAGGGGGTAGGCCTAGGGGTAGGCCTAGGGTAGGCCTAGGGGGTAGGCCTAGGGACAGGCCTAGGGTAGGCCTAGGGAGAAGGCCTAGGGGTAGGCCTAGGGTGGGCCTAGGGGGTAGGCCTAGGGGTAGGCCTAGGGTAAACCTAAGGAATAGGCCTAGGGGTAGGCCTAGGGTAGGCCTACCCTCCGGGTTCTATAAGGATTTGAGAACACCCTCAGTTGTAAAAGACCCAGACTGCTAGTTTGAGGAGACCCGCTGGGTTTTGGGAAGACCCGGGGGCGTTGGTTTGGGAAGACCCGTTTGGTTTGGGAAGACCCGGGTTTGGTTTGGGAAGACCCGGCGGTCTGATTCCGCAACATTTGGTTTGGGAAGACCCGTTTGGTTTGGGAAAACCCTGGCCCCACCCCTCCCCCCCCCCCCTGCCCCCCTCCCCCGCCCCCTCTGCCACCCCCTCCTCGACGCCCCCCTCGTCCCCCCGAGGCGCGAGGCCCAGGCACCTGGCGCCTCGACTCCTGCGGCCCCCTGCCCCCTGGACCTCTCGACCCCCTCCCGACGGCCCGCCTCCCGACGGCCCGCGAGGCCCGCGAGGGGCCCGGGAGGCCCAGCGTGGCGCCCGGCGCAGGCCAGTCCACAGGGAACTCTCCACGAGGAACCCAGCTCCCGAGACCCCAGGGCGCCGGGGCGTCCGCTGGTTCGTGGCGTGGGAGCGCCACGCTTTCCGTAGCAGAGCCATCGGAGCCCACGAGACCCAGGGCACCCTGGAGGCAAGCAGGGCGCCGATGGGCATGGGCCCCCACTGACAGACGAAGCCAGGACGAGGAGGAACCGGGTGAGGACAAATCGAGAATGCCTGAGATCTGGCGGCTCTGGAGGACGTCTCGTGTCGGGCGCCGCGGCCTTCTCGGAGCATTCCGAACTCTCTGAGAGCGTCCCGGAACGCTCTGGAACGGATTCCTCCTCGTCCTGGCCCCGTCCGGTGGCGCCAGACTCGGGAGCGGCCAAGAGGGGGGTGTCCAAGAGGGGGGGGTGCAAATCATGACTGGCGGCATGTGCGCGGCCCAGCGGGGGGGCCAGGGGCGTAATGAAACAAGAAGAGGCGCCACGAAATCTGGGGAAATATCATGGCCCGCGCCATGATATCCACGCCCCCCTAGTCATCACCCCCCTCTTTTCCGCTCCCGAAATTCTCGGAGCATTCCGAGCTCTCTGAGAGCGTCCCGGAACGCTCTGGAACGGATTCCTCCTCGTCCTGGCCCCGTCCGGTGGCGCCAGACTGACTACCTACCAAACCACCCCAACCCAACCCGAAGACCCGAATTTGACCCGAATTTCGGGTTGGGGGGGTACGGGCTCCATGTGTTTTTTCGATGTTCCCCGACCCCCCCCCCCACTGGAAATGGAGGGCAAATCGTGGCCTTCGGGTTGGGTTGGGGTGGTTTGGTGGGCGGTGACAGACTGGCCGCCTCGATCTTCCTTCGAGGCGCCCGGGTGCCCGGGCAGCGCAGAGTGCGCGGCGGAGCGCGGTGCAGGCTGGCGGACGGGGCCGCGCGCGGACGGGCCCGGCCGAGGAGGGCCCCCCGCCTGCAGTGCCGTTTTTGATACCTGCTCTCCGCGTGCGGATCGTGCATTAAAAATGCAGGGATTTAGTATTACAAACAACGATGCGTTCATGCATACATTTATTCATAAATTAATCATGTACTCCAGATTTCGTAATAAAAGGGAGGGGGTCTGGACCTTCCAAGAAAAGCCATTTCAGACCTCCGCCGTGGGAGAACCCTCCAAAACATCGTCCCCAGACCCCCCAGGCCCTCCAAGATAGCCTGGAAGAGACCCCCTCCCGAAATGAGACCCCCTCCCTTCATTACGAAATCTGGAGTATTAAAAATCCTATATGTTTGAAAATCCCATGGATAAAAAACTGCCCTGTACCCCCCACTGCGCGCCGCTCGCTTCGGGCGGAGCCAGTTGGTGCCCAAGAGGGCCCCTTCGGGGCCCTTTCCTTCACCCCTGGTTTGGGTCACCTCCCATTGAAGGGGCCCTGGGACACACCAATAAGTACACACAAATAAACAGATTCCCAATATTTTCCCATCTT